TTCTATAGGTAGAGTTATAATGACATTTTGAATCTGAGCCACGCTAAGCTTGGCTAAAAGTTCTTTGAAGTAAACTTAAGGTATCAAGCAGCTTGATTTACAACCTAGAATTATTATCCAATAATAAGCTACTACGAAAAGGTGTTAAAACTGTAACAGCGCTACCATAAATGAGCTACATCAAAAGAGAAATAAAAATCTTATCCTGTTTACGATCGAGGCATTAAGAAAAATATAACGCTAAAATATATAACGGAGGCGACGTTACTTAGTCGTTCCAGTGATTGGTATATTGCTGTGAAAGCTTTTTTATGTACCTACCCACACTTACAGCGCAACATGATTCATATTTCCCAAGGCGTGTGCGGACGTTTAAAACCAAATACGGCGCGTATATCTAAATATGCAAATGTAACATCCAATGTTATTGATTTGAATGGCTTTGAATTTGGAACAGTATTTGAAGGTTATTCTCAAGAAGATTTGCCTGATAATACACGGGAAATCATGCTTCATGACGTTTTTGGAAACTTTTGTCCACCAGTGGACATCCATGCTGAAATAATAATTACGAAGCACACTGTAAAATAAACCAAAGTTCTGTATCATAAAATTATACAGTAAAAAGATTTGGGCCTGTGATACGTATTATAATATTGAAATTCAGCCAATCACGGACTAGAATCTATGAGTTTGAACCGAGTTTTGAGCGTTGTTTCAGAATACTAGCCCAAATTGAAATTCGCTCAAAGTAAATTATAATCGAAATCAAACGTAAACAACGCCTACGCGCTACGTGTTTTAGTTGTAGAGAGTGTCTTTAGGCTACTAACTCCTGGAAAATCCGTTTTCTCTATAAAACTCTATAAGAGTGAAAGAGAGAAAAATAAACATTATGCGTTGTATTTTTTAATCCGCCCGCGCGTTTTGGATGTAAAAAAGGTAGAGTTAATTATCGCGCAAAATAACACCGGCGGCCGTCCACGTTTATCGCATTCGCTCGTTGGCGATCGGTATGTAGTGTTTGTGAGTTTAAAACAGGCTTTACACAGGTGGCGCTATTGTGGAATCTGTGCCTCGTTTTATACAGCTACACATAAAGTATTTGTAAGCCTTTGTTATCTTAGGTCTAAAAAGAAGGTCAAAAGTACGTACATAGCTTTTTTAAAGTAAATACTCAAAGAAAACTCCCCTGTTACTGTACTGAGCCAATAAAAATGGCATTAGGGGAAAGTGTGGTATATTGGACCGGATGCTAAATTGTACCACATTCATATTTCGTATTATATAAATGGCTACAATGGTGACACAGTGATACGCGAAAACAATAATTATGAAAGATAATAATCAACGTAATAATTGTGTGTCGCTGGAAGTCGTCGTAGCAGCAATTTAAAGAAATTCTACGAAATATTAAGGTGCCCGTTTATTTAATAGCCCGTCCAATATACCCGACTTTCCCCTATGTTATCTTTTGTACTTGTTAAATAAATAAAGTGTGAAAAAATGGATGACGCAGCGACATACTTGCATTCACAAAACATGGGCGTTTCCATCACACAGAAAAACAACAGCAATAACCGAAATTAAATTCAAACTGTAATGCTTTAATCGCCAAAAAGTAATTCTGAACCCAATTCCGCGGCAATGTGACACGTATATTCGTCAGCAATTATTTAATTCGTGCGTGTTATAAACGTGACAAATATCGCGAGAGAGTTAATTTTCATCAGACGATAACAATGCGAGTCCGCGTTCATTCGTAATTGTTAGGGTTTGCACAAACTATGGCGTTGGCGTGTAACGCAATTTAGAAGATAAGTATTACAAGTCTTTGTTGTTAGTTCGGCTTGGAGCTCAGTATACGCACGATTTACTTACAAGCCCTATACTCGTAAAAGATTAAGAAACAAGAGTTCGATAATTACTTATATTTACCTATATTTTATCTAAGAATGCTAGTTATCGTAGCTTGCAATTTAGAAAACGATTCAGAGCCAGAAAAAAATCCGTTGGGGCTCACTTGCATTTTATTAAACGTTTTTACTGCTTGAGTATTACCACAGAAAGATTCATCGTAAAAATGTTCTAGGTAAATCACTCTGCTCGTATCTTACACATAACGTTTATATTTCATCGTGTTTTTCAATTCTGAGAGAAAATGTTCACACGTAACGCCAGTCACCTGTACAGCGCACTCTACACTACACGACATTTAACAGAAGAACTCTGTTACGGGAAAAAGTATTAATGTGTGCGCACCTTAACACTTTGCGACAGGGTGCCGTGCAATAACAAAAGCTTTTATTCACCCCACATCGAGCATGACAAGTAAAAATACAATTATCTACGTATATACAACATTTACATACAACCCGTTTATGCTGTTAATGAAATGGAAATAAATGGACCTTTGAAGGCTGACAGTTTTATTCGAACGTTTATCACACTTTTATATATTATTGACTATTGTCGTGTGTCCATTAACGAAACCAAGGAACTTATTTTTAACCGATACATCAATTTTGAAACATAAATAATGGATACAACCTGCTAACTTGTCTTCTTTAGGCAATATGATATGTAATCCAGCCACTTTAAATGTCCTGAAGATCTGAACAAACATTATGAATGGATATAATCTTCTATCTCTACCACTACTTAATTTAGTATCTTTTTAGTTTTACTTTCATTGACTGTTAATGTTTATAAAATGACTACAAAGCGAGTTCTTTTCAATAACATTCAATACTTAGGCTGAGTTGCACCACCTAATTTTAACGGTAACTATAACGATAACCGGTGTTTTTTATATGGAGTTTGACAAGTTTTTGACGTTTGTTACAGTTAAAGTAAGATGGTGCAACCCAGCCTTAAAGTCAATCTATCAATAGAATTTTAGTCGCTGTACAGTATTTCAGGAGGGAATTTGAGGATGCGGCATCATAAAATTTACGCATACCTAAATCACACTGACCCATTACCCTCTCAAGGTAAACTGCAGCGTCTAGCGAAGCCACGTCTGCTGTCTAGCAGTCCTATCTTTTACGAGCAACAGTTTGGTACAACGCGAGGGCTTACAAATATAGTTTAGTGAGAAATGATGGTACATTGTGGTGAAATATAAGTAAATAGACTAAGAGCTAGTGAACGCCAGACCTACGTTATTTTATAAAGGCTGAAAGTTTGTCAGCGCATGCTCCCAACATAGCTAAGAACCATGGCCAAACATGAAGTTTGGGTAATGGTGGCTTTGGCAGACAGACGGTACTAAAGGTGTGTAAAATACCAACTTAATTACGTCAAAGTATAAAGGCTGATTTTTTTATATTTCCTTCAAAATGTTATTAGAAATGACGTCATTCATTGACAGACACCTACCATGGTGGAATCCCTTAGCCAGACACCTTAAAGTTCATGAAAATGTAGTCCTACTTACGTCATACTATAAAAGCTGATATTTACATAAAATATTTGAACCATCATTTGATGAAGTTTCCTCATCAGCCAGACACTTCTGATGGTTCCTTCGCCTTGCCAGACAGCTTTTAGGGTGGCTGAAAGTGCGAAATAAATATTGTATTTTGTACTTTTTCTTAAGTTACTCAAGTATTTGAGTCTGTAAATCATCATATTATGTTGATGAGCTGATGATGGAAGGTAAGTACAACTCCTTAAGGCTTAGGTAGGCAATCCCTAATTTTGAAGTGATTACCTCTGAAAGTTGCCTAGAATAAAGTTCTTAGCAACATTAGCATTACCTATGTTAATGCTAATGTTGCTAAGAACTTTACTCTAGGCGTTTAGCAAACTCAAAATACTTGAGTAACTTAAGAAAAAGTACAAAAAACAATATTTATAGTGCCTCGTGTTCGCACTTTCAGCCACCCTAAAAGCTGTCTGGCAAGGCGAAGGAACCATCAGAAGTGTCTGGCTGATGAGGAAACTTCATCAAATGATGGTTCAAATATTTTATGTAAATATCAGCTTTTATAGTATGACGTAAGTAGGACTACATTTTCATGAACTTTAAGGTGTCTGGCTAAGGGATTCCACCATGGTAGGTGTCTGTCAATGAATGACGTCATTTCTAATATCATTTTGAAGGAAATATCAAAAAATCAGCCTTTATACTTTGACGTAATTAAGTTGGTATTTTACACACCTTTAGTACCGTCTGTCTGCCAAAGCCACCATTACCCAAACTTCATGTTTGGCCATGGTTCTTAGCTATGTTGGGAGCATGCGCTGGCAAACTTTCAGCCTTTATAAAATAACGTAGGTCTGGCGTTCACTAGCTCTTAGTCTATAAAGGAATGTTCTTCGATATTTCCAATAATTCAACAATGTTTTCCTGATCTCCAAATAAAATATTTAAAAGTACGTTTGATTAAGCTTTCTCCACTCATTAATTATGTATAACAGAGGAACTAAACTAAGATCAAGTCTTGTTATTGAATCGAAGCTCAATAAACCCCTTATTTTTATTTTATGTTTTGTTGTTTTGTTAGAGCAACGAACGTCTGATAGAGATAGGTGAGATAAACATTCTGATAGACAAAGCAGCACAATACTAGGGTCCCATTGGCACTCTATAGGGAAGGAACCACAGATCACAGAAACTAAAGGGAGATGTGACAAGGGGGCTGGGCCGGTGTCGCAGCAATATTTATACCCAAAAACAGAACACACTGCTCATGACAGCAATGATGACAGCAGCGACATCTTGCTTACGTAGTACTAAAGATTATTCGAACTTTGAGCACTGATACCGCAGTGAATAACGAGCACATATTTTGATTACTTTGTGTGTGTGGATTTCTAATGCGACACTGAGTTTCGAACTCAGCGCATTAGTTGGCATCTCTCTATATCTCTGTGGAAGGAACCCTGATAGTTTCAATGAAAGCCCATAAAAGTTTGTTTAACGATAAACCGATGCTTTTGAGGACGGGGTTATCATTATTTCCCGAGTTAATGATGTTATTATTTGTTCGCAGCGTACGGCAACCTCGGCAGCGTGCTCACGGCGCAGGGCCGGACCGCGGAAGCGGAAATGGCTTTCGAGAGGGCGCTCAAATACAGACCCAACATGGCCGACGTTCATTATAATCTGTGAGTATTAATCTTGGTATTAACACTTTTTATCTAAATTCTTTTGTAAAGCAAATCGACCGTGAATATTTTAAATGATGAAAATATTAAATGATGTCATTTTAAATTTTCACACACATAAAACCGATCTTAAATAAGTACTTGGCACATTTGAAGACAGTGCTTGCGTTATATTTGGAAAATGGCTATACTAAACTTAATTTACTGTCAATTGGCAATTTGATGTAGGCTGATCAATCATAGTAATTAAAGCTATGTACAGTCGACAAACAAACTACTTACTTACCACCTACATATACACTCGCGAGCAAAAGTATGGAATCACTTACATGAAGTTGTTTCCACGCGATCTTGTGTACTAACGAATTTGTTAGTAACAAAAAAAGTATCACCATTTTCAAGATTAAACTTTTGACTTTAAATTGATACCAAATTCATTTAAATCACACCAGTATTTAAAAAGATATCCCGGCTGATGTGAAGAAGTAAGAAAAAAGACATGTACCAACTGTTTGATACGTCGCGAGTTGCGGCCTATTTACCCCTATAAAAGCACGTGTTTTCGGATTTTTGCGTTCACAGGTTGATCCATACACATCTCGGCTTCTTTTGACACTTTACCTGGGATTCTACACCTACAGAAGCAGCACAAATCGTTGCACTGTTGCAAGAAGGGCTCAGCCAGCGGGCTGTCGCACGTCAGCTCCACATAAGTCAGTCCTGGGTTTCGAAAGTTTTAAGACGCTTTTGGGAGACTGGTGGCTTTATCCCGAGACCAAGTTCTCAACAGCGCCGGTGCACATCGCAGAGGGATGACCGTTTTTTCATGTCAACCTCTCTATGAAATCGTCATTTGACTGGTATCGACGTCCAGCAAGAGCTCAGAAATGTTCGTAGGATAGCTGTTAGCGAGTGGACAGTTCGTCTAAGATATGAGCAATAAAATTTTACTCCAAAAAGGCCTGCCACAGGCTGGAAACTGACGGCAGGTCACCGACAAGCACGCTTTCAATTAGGTCGCACTCGGAAGGCGAGTAATGGAGGCGAGTTTTGTTCTCCGATGAATGCAGAATGTTTTTGCTGTGCAGCAGTCGAAGAGGTCGGGTCAATAGACGGCCTAGGGAGCGATTTGTGCAGTGCTGGTTCGCTAAAACATTGGCTTATGGGGGTGGCTTGCTCGACTTCCGATCGAGATGTGTAGGAGCAAATTGAAAGCGTACTTATCGGTGACCTGCCGTCAGTTTCAAGCCTGTGGCAGGCCTTTTTGGAGTCAAATTCTGTTGTTTATATCTTAGACAAACTGTCCACTTGCTAACAGCTATCCTACGAACATTTCTGAGCTCTTGCTGGACGTCGATACCAGTCAAATGACGATTTCGTAGAGAAGTTGACATGAAAAAACGGTTTTCCCTCTGCGATGTGCACCGGCAATGTTCAGAACTTGGTCTCGGGATAAAGCCACCGGTATCCTGAAAGCGTCTTCAAACTTTCGAAACTCAGGACTGGCTTATGTGGAGCTGACGTGCGACAGCCCGCTGGCTGAGCCCTTCTTGCAAAAATGCAACAATTTGTGCTGCTTCTGAAGGTGTAGAATCCCAGGTAAAGTGTCAAAAGAAGCGGAGATGTGTATGGATCAACGTGTGAAAGCAAAAATCTGAAAACACTTGCTTTTATGGGGAATAAATAGGCCGCAACTCGCGACGTATCAAACAGTTGATACATGTCTTTTTCCTTACTTCTTCACATCAGCCGGGATATTTTTTTAAATACTGGTGTGATTTAAATGAATTTGGTATCAATTTAAAGTTAAAAGTTTAATCTTTAAAATGGTGCTACTTTTTTTGTTACTAACAAATTGGTTAGTACACAAGATCGCGTGGAAACAACTTCATGTAAGTGATTCCATACTTTTGCTCGCAAGTGTATTTTAAGCTTTAAATCTTGGGCATACCAAGCTTCAAAATCAATTGAGGAATTATGTTGTCTAACTAAAGCATAATGGAATGGTTACAGAACTATTGATGAAAATAATTATCTGAACTCTAACGCCCGTTATCACAAAATACTATACCTATATGAGGTCTCGCAGTGCACACACAAGAACCAATCACAGAGCTTTTTTCAACGTTGTGCGTTCGATTTGCTACTTCACTTAAGCAAGCATCGTTTGTGAATACGGGTGTAAGCTTTTACGTACTTACTGCCTACCTTAAAATAATCCGTCACTGCATAATATACTCACGTATCTACATAGGTACTTATATTCCCAACCCACGTAAGAGGTTACGGACCGAAATACAAAAGCTATTTTCACGAAGCGACATTCAAATGTCTTATTCTTCCAAACCTCTAAGCCATTAAAACATCTTTGCTAATACTAAGAGCATCTATAAATAGCTTTTACGAAGACGCAAATTTATTTGTGATTGTTTGGTTTATTCCTCTATTTTTTTTTGTTAGGAAAGTCTATAATTATTCTGCGAAACGAAATTTTTGATAACTGAAGTAACAAATAGAGACCCTTTGAACTAAAATGTCTTAATCAGACGTACCTATTTAGTATATATGATAACACATCAAACTATTTTAGGAATTTTTCTTGCATATAAGAACAACCACTAAATGTGTCGTGGTCCGTACAGTTAGATAATAACTAATTTAATAACCAAGCCACAGTAGTTTAGAGTATACCACGTATGTATCATAATATTATTATGTAAACAATGTCTAGATGGAGGCACTAGTGTCGGTATACCAAAGGCTGTGTGAGAAACCTGACCGACGTAAGTCCTTTGTGCGGCTGGACACCAATATGTCGTGACAGTGTTTCCAATACACAAGCTCTAAGACACTTAGTCTATTATATTAAGAGTATTGATGGCTAAGATCTTGCATCATCTAAAATAGAGGAACACGGGTCTCAACGGGACATTTTTATATGAGTTACATAATATACTCACGGTTTGACGTTTCGGCTGCTATGCTGCAGCCGTGGTCGCAAGCAAGATTTCGACAAAACGTTTCTCTATTTTAATTTGAATGGAACGCGAAAGTTTAAAATCTTATTTTATCTTGCATCATGATATCTATTCATCTAACTAGAACTATCCATATACTTATCGTTGAATTTTGCATTCATTAATATCACGCACAAGAAATGCGATTAAAAAGACCAATAAAAAGATATTCAGTTACAAAAGAATTACCTACCATTAAAAAGATATTCAGTTACAAACTGAAACGGCTGACCACTGAATCCACAAAAAGCAAAAACAATAACTATATAAAATAATATCCGATGAAAAATGAAATGAAATTAAACTATATTTCGCCATTATTACACGGACAATAACAATACTAAACCTTTTCTTTGGCAAGACCCACAATATTGTTACACAAGGGATACGACGAGGATAAACAAAATCTTTCACAACACAATAGAAACTATTAAGGGACAAAGATTGGATGCAAGCCCTATAATATTATTCTAATCTCAATAACAAGAAAAGTTTAATATAATACATTCAGAGGTCCATGCGAGCCTTTAGTAAAGGGGAAATAATATTCCGCGTGCCTCCCCGAGGGACTGAAAAGGCAAAAGGTCCAATCCTTGAAAGGGACATTCGACAAGGAAAATATTATAAATATGTGTAAAAAATTATGATAGAAATACGATAGTCAACGAAGCTAAATATAGACGATCGCTGAACTAGTAAGTAATATTTATAAATGCTTTACTTATCTGTTCTAACTTTAATAAGGGTTGAAATAGCGGATGAAAGTTGGTACGATGGTGTGGGTACTAATATTTTTTTCAATAAGGAAACTTTAAGTTGTTGTGTTTGGCTAGTAACATTAATAGCTTTGTTACTGCGACAGTGGAAAATTAATGAATACGAGTATACGACTTGCAATTAACAGCTTAGCAAAATCATTGCTTACTTTTAAAACCAAAAGGTTCGACCGGTCTTTCTACGGATTAATACCTACTCGGCCCTGAACCCTTGTATACAAATGCGTTTTAAAATATAGGATGCCTTGGGCTTAATACGTCATGTTTAGATCCATAGACCTATTAACAGACAGAAACGATTAGGAAAATTAGACTATCGGTTGCTGACAACTCCGACAGAATATTTTACTATCCTAGTTGAGTCCAACTTTAACTAATCTCCTTTCCATCTACAAGTGTTATTAGTAACGAAAATACGCAACGCTTAATTTATAAGAACAAAAGATAGAAACAAAACTAAGGGGGTTTTAGTGTCACGCAGATAAGTGGGAAGGTACATCTACATGCGGGAATAGCCGCATGCTTATATCACGCATCGCATTAAACAGTAAGAGAAATAGGATTGCGGATGATACGGGCCAAAACCCCTCGTGTGATGAGTAATCCGCATGACACTACAAACGCCCTAGTAAACGCAAAATTTGCGCTTCAAACATTTTGGGCTGTTTTGAACTCGGTCGATCAATAGGAACAACACGAGCTGTCCGTCCCATTAACTCATGGATACTCCTTGAATTAATCGGGTTCGCCTCTCGTCCTGTCATATCTTCCGTCTCACAAATTAACGTCTAATCTTAGGGCAAAACTGTAATAGATACTGGAAGAGCAAGGGCAAATTTTATCCAATCTACTTTACTTTTCGATACTGTACCAACAGAGTGCAGAGCCGAAATGTCAAGCTGTGAGTACCTACTAATATAACTCGTATAAAAAATGACACATTGAGGCGTGTGTTTCTCTATTTTAATTGACTTCTTTATATCTTTCTGATAGTATTATTCAGTTGCAAAATAAATAAAACAATAAATGAAGCGACTCTAATCGCTAAGAAATTTTAATAAAAATAAACAAAAGCCAAAATCGTCGCCTACATTTAAAAAACCAAAAGTTGTCGGTATTTAGACAATGGATTAAATTCTACCCGAACCCCTTGTTTTATGACAACGCGTCCTAAAATATTGGGCGCCTTTGACACAATACACGTTTT